TAGGGCTTCCGGGGCGACGCAGGGGGCGATAGCGTTGAGCCTCTTCAGGGCTCTGAAACAAAACTCCTGTCGCGTGGTTGCACCCAGCAAGGATGCCTCGGTGCGCGCAGAAGTGTCGAGACCAGCTCCCGAAAGCGCGCAGACGCCGAGGCTGCCTGTGGAAATCCACCAGCACCCACGCAAGTCGCATCGGGAGCCGAGGGCTTCGGTCTCGACCCAAACCTGATCATATCGAATCATGTCGAAACGCCTTCTCATATCCAGCAGCGCTGATATCGAGATGTCGCCAACCAGTTTGGCAATGTCGGCGGCGAGGTTGTGAGCGAAAGCGCTGCCAGAGGGGCTGTGCCGACGCCGCGCGCCCCAAGACTTCCAGACCGTTGTGCCGATCTTGCCATTCAACTGTGAGGGGCTTGCGGAGCTTGCCCCAGATTCGGCAAAGCGTGGAGATGAGAGCAATGAGAGGGGTGCCTCCTTCTGAGTTGGCCGGGCGCGCCAGCTCGTTGCGCGCTCTGTCGGCTGGCCGTGCCAGGAACTGCTCGCATAGCATGGAAAGGTGAGCGATGGCTGCACAAGCGAGGGATGGGGGCCGCTGGGCCCAGTCGCCGTGCGCGCGGAGTTACTCAAGACTGCGCCCTGCACCATGCCTGTAGTGATGGCGGGCAGCTCTGGCCAGGCGTCCGACCCAAGTGGGGGCCTTGACCTTGGGGCAGCTGTGCGTGGCCCACGCGTCGGCCCAAGGTTTGAGCTCATCGTCGGCGCGCTGATGCGGTGCACATCGCGCCGTGGACGAGACAATCTCTTGGCCGGCCTTCACCTTCGAGAATCTGTGCGACTGGGAAGCGATTGCTTAAAACTGGGCCCTGGCCCAAGACACCCAAGGCTGAGTGGGGCGGTTCTCGGCGGCCGAAATCGCCGCTTTGGCCCTGGTATAAACCGAGCACAAGACGCCGGGGCAATCGGGGCGGGCCAGGGCGGATACCCACCGGAAAATAATTCACGCGTGTGACAGTCCAGACAAGCCAGAACCTTTTTGCACCGCGCAACGTTGGCCATGAACTGCGACAGCTCTGAGTAACTGCAGCAACTTAGAATATTGCATGGGGGCAAGCGGGTGAGGGCTGTCTAGAACTTGCAGGCGCTTTATCTCCGAACTTCAGTATTGGCGCATTTTATCGAAGTGTTTAGCCCATCCCATCACTGAGGCCCAGGCGCGCGCCTCGGGGTCCTTATGCGCCCTCTTCTTGGGGGGGGGGTCCAGACAAGCTTTTTCCACTGGGCCCCCTGAGTTCAGGGCGGCCCGCATGGGCCTCCGCGGAACTGCCGACGCGGCCCCGCCTGGCCGCGAGCTCTCGTTCCACCCCTTCGAGGACTATATCCAAAAAATCTGGGAGCTGCTCGGCGGAGCTGATTTGCGGGGTCGCCACCTCCAGTGCGGCCCCTCACGGATGGACAGGGAATCTCGCGCAGCCAATAGGAGGAACCGCTTGGAAAGTCTTCGGCAGCCTGGCAGCCCGCGCCCGCGCGGGAGCGCCCTGGGCCAGGGGCCGCAACGCGGGGAGGTGTGGAAACTCTTGGGCCCAGACAGGGTTGGCGGCAAACCTTGGCGCTAGCCAGCTGCTACACATAAAATAATCAACCCTCGTGCCTGAGGCCGATTGGCGACAAGTCGTCGCGCTGGCAACGGGCGAGATGCCACTGGCAGCGGCGAGCCAATCATTTTGGTTCAGCACATCCACCTCCATGTTGAAATCGGCGCCGGCCGCCTGCGCCATCTGCATGCGGTTGAGCACTGCGAGATGCTCAATCAGCCGCCAGAGGATGGTGGAGTTCTGCGGCCCTAAGCCTTGGCCGCCCTTGAACTGCCCTGAAATGAACGCCGCGCCGCCTGGCAGAAACGAGTGAGCGTGGGCGGCGACCAACCGACCTGGGGCGATCTCATGCGACTATCGCCCAGGAAGTGAGGTTATCATGATGCTGGCGCGCGTGAATGCCGCCGCGCCACCTGCTGTGCCTGGCCCGCCGTCTTCACTAGGAATAGCACAACTCCAAAGCCCTCTCCAGCCTGTGTCGTCCACCTGCGCATGCCTCTCGCCGAGCTTGTCCGCCGCCACGCGGTGCTCTCGCGCCATCGCCGCGTCGGCCTCCGGCTCGGACTGATAGTCGGTGAGCGGACCAAGAGACGATGAGTTGAACGTGACCAGGTCGGAGAACATGCCTTGGCGTCGCCTGCTAGGGCGCCCGGCGCCAGCGGCTGACCCAGTGCGAGAGGTGCTCGCGGCCATGCCTCCAGCCAACCCGCGAGGGGGGGGCTCGAACGGCGGTCCTGGGCCTCCGAAGAGCGCCGGCCGACCGAAGGTTCACGCGCCCCTGGCGCATCGGCCATCGACGGCTGGCCGCAGCGGCGCCGTGCTCGAAGCCGTCGCGGAAACCGAAGTACCCTTGGTCATCGCTGTCCTCGCTGCGCCCGCGCCTCCTTCAGCAAGCACGAGAGTCGACGCCGTCGACCCTCCAGAATCAGGCTCACGTCTCGCTGCTGAAACGAAAGGAGTCGCGGGGGCACCCGCCAGGCCATCGGCTCTTCCCCCAGCAGGCAAGAGGGCCGACACCATCGATCCTCTAGAACCAGGCTCACGCCTCGCTGCTGAAGAGAAGAGGGGCACCAGGGCGGCCGACGCCATCGCGCCAACATCCCCTTCAGCAGGCAAGAGGGTCGACACCGTCAACTCTCCAGAATCAGGCTCACGCCTCGCTGCTGACACTAAGGGAGGTGCTGGGGCAGTCGGCCCGAAGTCGTCGCAATCAAAATCGAACGGGTCAACGTTCGGGTCGCCCATCAGATAGACTGCGGCCGCCATCGGCGGCTGAGACAGTCATCATTCATCATTGCAGCGGTAGATCGGTTGACACACCACAAACACCACAACGACCTAATCAGTCGTGGTCCTGAGCCTCTTGGCCACGCCGCAGACCGTGGCGAGGTGACGATTGAGCTGCTCGCGGAGGGCCTCTGCGGTGGGCTCAAGCGCCCCTTTCACCTGCGGGCTCGACGTTGACCCCGCGCGCTTTGAGGTGTTCCTTGCACGTCTCGGCGTCAAGTCCGTCGATATGAGCTGCCGTCGCTGCCTCCTCATCGACGGGCATGTCTGCCGCGGCGCCTGCGCCGCCGCCTCCGAACGGAGAGGGCGGCGTGGCAGGCGAGGGCTCCGCCTCCTGGATGCTCGCTGCAGCAGCTGCATGATGCGACGGAACGGCCTTGAGGCGGTCGATGATAGCAAGACATATTCGCAAGATCTTGAGCGAAGTCGCTGGTGCCACCCAGCGCCGAGATGACCGCCCAAAATTGCTGCACCGTGGCCTCCAGCCCAGGGGTGAGGGTCTCCACCGACGGGTTCTTGTCATCGGTCCTGCACGTGACGGCAGTCTTGCGTATCCGATCTTCCAATTCCATGATAGCTTGGGTTGCATCCTTCTCGTATTGCTGAACCTTTGCCAATTGCTCCTGAGCCTTCTCCGCTGCTGTTGGGGCCGCCTGCAGCTGGCCAGCAGCCCAGCGTGCTTGGCCCTGGCGGCGGCAAGCTGGTGGGATAGACCCTGGAGGTTGGCTTCGAGGGGCTTCGCTGCTTGCAACTCAGTCTGAAACCGATCGCGTTCAGCAGTGAACTTAGCTTTCTCCTCAGTGTCGGTGGGGTCGAGCTGGCCCAGAATGTGATTGAGCTTCTGAATGCGGGCTCTCTTACTTGCAACTTCCCCTTAGGCACACGACGTCCAAAGCGGGACCGAGGGGGCCGCGGGCTGCTGTCCATTAGTCCGACCCAACTTTTTCCAGCTGCTGGCGAAGTTCGACGATCTGCTTTGCCATCCTGTCCTCGCGAGCCTGCGCAGCACTGTCAGAACGACGCGACGGCTCTTTGGGAGAGGGGGGCACCTTTGTACGCACTGCTCATGTGGAGCCCGCAGCGCGCACACCACATGTGGCCGGCACGATTGATCCAGCTGGTGCCAGACAGCTCATGCTTACACCACTTGCAGTACCAAGGCTCTGCGGCGGCACGACGGGCCTTGGACCCCATGGCAGCAGACTGGGGAGTGGGATCCACAGGCCAGCGCACAGCCTAGCCGTGATGAGTGCTGCAGTGCGTGGGGCGAACCACGCACTGCTCGGCCTGGGGCGAACCAGGCGAAAGACGAAAGCTGGCCGCGGATTAGCGGTATCCACTTTATTCCCAAGGGAAACCAAAACCTTGAGCCAAACTGGCTACGGAGAGGAGGAGGAAGAGGAGGAGGAGGAGGAGGAGGAGGAGGAGGAGGAGGAGGAGGAGGAGGAGGGGGAGGGGAGGAGGAGGAGGAGGAGGAGGAAGAGAAGGAGGAGGAGGAGGAGGAGGAGGAGGAGGAGGAGGAGGAGGAAGGGGAGGGGGAGGCGGAAAAGGAGAAGGAAGACGAGGCGGAGGAAGAGGAGAGCAGGAGGAGGACGTATACCATATTGCTCTATTCAAAACGATTATCCCAGTGCGACCCTACCTAGGAGTTGGAGCATTTAGGAAAGCAACATCTACATCTACACCGACAGCTACATGTACATCTGCACCTGCATCTACATCAACATCAACAGCGAGACTCACATCTACATCTACATCTACACCTACATCTACACCTACATCTACATCTACATCTACACCTACATTCACATCTACGTCTACGTCTACACCTACATCTACACTTTCGCATTGGTTTTGCTTTTGCTTTTGCATTGCCTTTGCTTTCGCTCTTGCCTTTGCTTTGCTTTGTGTTGCTTTGCGTTGCTTGCTGTTGCTGCTGTTGCTTTGCCTTTGCTTTGCTGCTATGCTATGCTATGCTGCACTATGTTATGCTATACTATGCTGCGCTATACTGCGCTGTGCTATGCTACGCTAGGCTGCGCTATGCTATGCTAGGCTATGGTATGCTATGTTATGCTGCGCTATGCTATGCTATGCTGTGCTAAGCTAAGCTAAACTAAGCTAAGATGATATACGCAAAGCTAAGGTAAAGGGACGTAGCTGGGGGAACCGCGGGGCGGATGCCGGGGGAACCGCCCGGGGCGATTTGCACTGCCCGGCCCCTTTAAGCAGAGCCAGTAAGAACCCTTCTAGGCAGAGCCTAGGTAGGGAATAACCCAACGGGCCCCATCTCTCTGCTGCACTTTCGCACCGCATCGATCCGTCAGGGTCCCGGCGACGCGATCAAAGTAGGGCAGCAACATCACCCGTGGTAAAAAATTGCAAGGCCAAGATCTCAAGGTATGCAACTTTCTCATCTTCGATTCCCAACCCGCGCACGCGCGCGCGTGCGAGCGCGCGCGCGCCCTCGGCCACCACCTCAGCGAGGCCCGCCCAGCTCCACGCTCGGGCCTGGCGAGTGCTGCGCCGCGCGCGCCGAGGCGCCGCGCAACCCAGCAGAGGCCAGGCCGAGGGGGAGGGCCTCCGCTGGGATCCTGGCGTAGCACTTTCTTCACAACGGGCGTCTTTGCTACGACTCGGCCCCCGGGACCCTCGCAGATCGAGCCGGCTCGAAAAATGCAGAGAGAAAGATGGAATCTAGGGTTCTGGCTGTGAGTTTCCACGATGTTTGAACTTTTTCGCAGCGGAACGTTGGAGGCTCAGCGGTTGGCGCGGAGGGGACATGATTTCGATCTCGGTCATGGTGACAATAACCACCTGCTCCAGATAATATTCCCCTGGGGATCGTAAAGTTCGGGGTCCATGGGGGATAATATATGTGTGTTCCCGGAGATCTCAGCATAATGATGAAGATGAGGACGATGATGATGATCAAGATGATCCTAAACGTCCATGAGAATAATGAACACAATCCATGGGAATCCTTAGGAAATCCATCGGATTCCTTAGGACATCCATGGGATTACTTCGGACATCCATAGGTTTCCTCAGGAAATCCGTAGGGTTCCTTAGGGTAGTCATAGGATTCCCGAGTACATCCATACGTGTCCTTAAGAAAACCATAGGACCCTCTAGGATATCCATCGGATTCCTTAGGAAATCCATCGGATTCCTTCGGCAAGCTGTACACATTCCAATGGAAGTCCAGAGGAGAAGGACGAGGAGGATGAGGAGGAGTCCCAGGACCAGTTTCCCCCCAAAACTTCGATTCGGGACCTGAGGTTTTTTAGTTGTGAAACTATTGTTCAGTCATTGCCAATAGCGCATGTGTAGGAGCCCATGGCGGCTCATTGGCGGGGATGTTTTACTTCTTGAAATTATCACGGCAAAGCAACCTAACAGCGATGTGTGTAACCATACCTGGAAGCATTCCCCTTAATATTCAGGAGAGAATCCAGTTGTAGAATTCTGCTGTTCTCGCAGTCGCAGTCCCATTCGCACTGACAGTCGCAGTGGCAACGGCCTTCGGATCCAGTGGAATCCTAAGGATTCCTAGGGATTCATAAGGCATCCTTAGGCATCCTTAGGAATCAATCCTTAGGAATCCTGATTCCGATGGATTCCCAAAGATTCCTGAGGATGCTTAATTATGCCTACGGATTCCTAAGGATGCCTACGGATTCCTAAAGATTCCTATGGATTTCTAAGGATTCATACGGTTTCCTGCGGATGCCTCAGCCTGCCTCAGTTTCAGCCTCAGCCTCAGCCTGCCTCGGCTTGCCTCAGCCTCAGCCTCAGCCTGCCTCGGCCTCAGCCTCAGCCTGCCTCAGCCTCAGCCTCAGCCTGCCTCAGTCTCAGCCTGCCTCAGCCTCAGCCTCAGCCTCAGCCTCAGCCTCAGCCTCAGCCTCAGCCTCAGCCTCAGCCTCAGCCTCAGCCTCAGCCTGCCTCGGCTTGCCTCAGCCTCAGCCTCAGCCTGCCTCGGCCTCAGCCTGCCTCGGCCTCAGCCTGCCTCAGCCTCCCTTCCTCCCCCCCCGCCCCTCCTCCCTTGAGCGAGGAACAGATCGCCAGAATTGCAGCGAACCGCCAGGCCGCCCGCGCCCGCAAGGCCGAGGCGGAGGCGCGGCGCAGGGCGCCACGGAGAGGGAGGCTGTCTTTTGCTTCCCACTTCTCCCCTGGCCCCTGCCTTTTTCACTAGGCCCCACGTGTGGGCCAACAGACATGAGCACGGCGACCACGCCAACGCCACCGTCCCACCACCACCACCCCCCCTTCCCCCCCCATTCAGCCTCACCTTGTCTCGGCTTCGGCCTGCCTCGGCCTCATCCTCATCCTCATCCTCAGCCTCAGCCTGTCTCGGCCTGAGCCTGCCTCGGCCTCAGCCTCAGCCTGCCTCAGCCTCAGCCTGCCTCAGCCTCAGCCTCGGCCTGTCTCAGCCTCAGCCTGCCTCAGCATCAGCCTCAGCCTCAGCCTCAGCCTGCCTCGGCCTCAGCCTCAGCCTGCCTCGGCCTCAGCCTCACACTGCCTCAGCCTCAGCCTCAGCCTGCCTCAGCCTCAGCCTGCCTCAGTCTCAGCCTCAGCCGCAGCTTGCCTCAGCCTCAGCCTCAGCCTCAGCCGCCAGCCTGAGCTTCAGCCTCAGCCTCAGCCTGCCTCGGCTTCAGCCTCAGCCTCAGCCTCAGCCTGCCTCGGCCTCAGCCTCAGCCTGCCTCAGCGTCAGCCTCTCAGCCTCAGCCTGCATCAGCCTCAGCCTCAGCCTCAGCCTGGCTCAGCCTCAGTCTCAGCCTGCCTCAGCCTCAGCCTGCCTCAGCCTCAGCCTCAGCCTACCTCGGCCTCAGCCTGCGTCAGCCTCAGCCTCAGCCTGCCTCAGCCTGCCTCAGCCTCAGCCTCAGCCTGCCTCGGCCTCAGCCTGCCTCGGCCTCAGCCTGCCTCAGCTCGGGCATTCAAAATATGGCACAGGACTGGTGTTCTGGGAACACGAAGATCACGAAGTGGCCCACAGTTGGCTCCGGGCAATCAAAATAGTGTACAGTAGTTGTCTTCTGGGAACACGAAGAACACGAAGTGGCCTACAGTTGGCTCTGGGCATTCAAAATGTGACCTGGGAATCGTGTTCTGGGAAGACGAAGATCACGAAGTGGCCCACAGTTGGCTCTGGGCATTCAAAATGTGGCCTGGGAATGGTGCTCTGGGAAAACGAAGAACACGAAGTGGCCTTCAGATGGCTCCGGGCAATGAAAATGTGGCCTGGGAATGGTGTTCTGGGAGCACGAAGAACACGAAGTGGCCTACGGTTGGCTCCAGGCATTGAAAATGTGGCCTGGGAATGGTGTTCTGTTGGCTCCGGGCAGTCAAAATGTGGCTCCTGGCAATCAAAATGGGAAGCCCCCGGTTTTCCCCGGCTTCTCCCGGATCCTGCCCAGACCCCCCTGGGGAATCAGGATGCTCTCTCTTGACCCCACTAGAAACCTATTCGGGCTGGGCGCGCAAGGAGGAGAGGAGGAGGAAGAGGCTTCCCAGGGAAATCAACAGGATGCCTTAGGAAAGCCATCGGAATCCTTAGGACATCTATAGGATTCCTAAAGACATCCACAGACGACCTTACAAACCTATCGACTTCCTTAGAACATCCATCGGACCTCGAAGAAAACCCACATGGGAATCCGTAGGAAACACATAAGAAGCCATGATACATCTATAGGAATCCGTAAGACATCCATCGGATTCCTTCGGAAATCCATAGGAGTCCTTATGAAATTCCATGGGGTTTCTTAGGACATCAATCGGATTTTCTTAGGACATCTATGGGAATCCTCAGGACATCCATGTGCATCCTTAGGAAATCAAAGACTCTTGAATCCATAGGATTCCATGGTATCCTTAGAAATTCGCGACTATCCCCCGCGATGAAAAGTTCGACCTTGCCGCCTCTCTTCCCTGACCGAAACTGTATTGGGGGCCGTGGATAATCAACACTCAGTACGCAAAGGGGAGGGGGGTAATTGATTCTCCGGAGGTGGTGGTTACTCGGTCTGCTTAGGTGGCCGAAATATTACCGCCAACACCGAAATCTAGGATCAGTCTTCTCAGGGTGGAGACACCCAGGGAAAAATCGTAGCCCGATGGATCGGCGCTAGGCCCTCGATAGCGACACCGAACGTTCCTGGGAGAGGTGGGTTACCAGTCCCAGTCGAGCTGGCGATGAATGGGTGATTGGGGGTTGATGCTCAGCCTATCCTGTCCCATGGTGCTCGTTCAGTTTTGGGACCAAAATTCGAATCTCTGGCAACCACTCGGGGCGATCCAGGCAGCTCTGGACGCCTCTCAGCGAGGCGCAGCTGCTGAAACATATCACGAAGCAGGAAAAACTTCCACGAACGAGCGAACACCTCCGAAAGCTGGCGTTATTTCGACCCCTGGCGCTGCCTCAGCAGGCGTGGTCATCAGAATTGCGGGGAAATGCCTACGAACCATGCCACTGGGGCCTTCGGTGGAGCTCCCTATGAGTCCACTCGTCCTCAGCTGGCCGCACGCAGAGGGGGGTAGGGGGAGGGGGGAAGGCTTCTTAGAAGGAGGTTGCTTCTTAGAAAGCGCCGGCCTTAAATCTACAGACAAGGCCCGCGCCTTCCAAGAGGCAGGGGTGCTTCGAAGAAGCCTTCCCCCCCCCCCCTGACCCCCCTTGCGCGTGGCCCACTCAGGGCCCCACCCCTCGGGGGCCCCATCTCTGACCCGCCGACCACTGGCGCCGCGGGCGCGGCGCCGCGCCGGCCGAAGGGGGGGTCGCCCTCGGACCGGCGCAGCGGCGCGGGCGCCCACGGGTCGGCGCCGCTGCCCCGCCAGCGCGCTGGGAGGGGCCGAGCGTGCAGGGACCGTGTCGGGCTCGCGGAACTTTCGGAAGATCTCGGCTGCTCAACATTGCAGGGCCTGTGTCGGGATCGTCGAACAGCTTCGGAGGTTTTCGGGCGCTTTCGAAGCCTAGGATGGCTTTCCATCAGCTGCGCCTCGGCGAGAGCGTTCTGGGGGTGCCGCCGGAGGCCCGAAAGCCAGACCCAGGGGGCGATGCATCGAAGTCCACTCGCCCATTGGGGGCCTTGTTTTCATTCTTGCCGCTCTCGGTGGGAGAGGGGAGGAGTTGGATTGGGGAGAATATGGAGGAGGACAAGGAGGAGACAAAGCATGGGGGAGAGGAGGGCCTCCTCCAGGGCGAAAAGGAGGAGGGCGATGAAGAGACAGGAAGAGAGCCTCCGCAGTCACAAGGACGACGATGAGGATTACTGCCAGATGAGCTTGGATGATTCTCATGTGGGGCTTTACCGTCGAGTACTTTGTTTTATTTCCACTCTCGCCCTGCCCCGGGGCAACTTTGTGAGCCAGGGCCGCCAAAGCACAGGGCGCACGGCTGGCACCCCGCCGAGGCCGGGCTGGTCCTTCTTCCAAGGTTGTGGCTGCATGCCCTGGAGCTTACCGCTTGGGCCTCAGAGACGGTGGACGACCAGTAAGAAGAGTACGACCCTGCT